TTGAGAAAATTCAGTATTTCCAAATTTCTCAGCTGAATGGAGCCAGATAGAAAACAAATCAGTGAAGACTGCCAGCTTTCAGATGTTTCTCAGAATTTAATTACACAGCTACTGGGATCCAAAGAAGCCGTCCAAGGGCGGGGTCCCTCTTCACACTTTGAGATTTAGGATTCTCTACCTTTTGAGCATTAAGACTCTTATTGTAACATTTTAAAATAAAGCTCTATTTAGAAATAAGCTTACAGAAATTTGCAAGAGTAAAAAGAAACTGAAGAAATATGCTTATCACCCAAATTCATGTATTATGAACATCTACTTCATTTACTTTATCATTTATGTTCTTCCCATGGCTCTCTTTCTCACTTAGTATCTTTAGACCAATTTAAAGATGAGTCATTTACAACATGACCTTTCTTCCTTAAATACTTCAGCATCTATATCCTAAGAATACCAGATATTCTCTTCTGTAAAACCATGGTACAGTCACTAAGTTCATTAACAATGACACAGTATTGCATCTAATCTACTGTACATTCAATTGGTCCACTTCCCTTTCTAGCAATGACAGGATTGTGCTGCATCCTAAACAGTGACACAATACTTTTACTCAGTCCTCGTCCATGGTCCGTCGACCCAGTGTCCTTTAAGAGCACTCATTTCTCCCCTCCAATGCAGGATCCAGGCTAGAAAACTTTACAGCCTTTGTTTATATTTTTGACAGTTCCATTTTCAAAGGCTACAGTTGTCTCTTCCACCGTTAATAGAATGTTCCTTATTTTCAGTTTGTCTGATTAGTTTCATGATTAGATTCAGATTGCACATTCTTGGCTGGACTGGAATATTGCATAGATAGCACTGTGACAAGATTGCTTTTAAAGGCAAAAGATAATTTGCCAGCCCCACATGATCTGAATTTTCCCTTTCTTTGTTTGATCTGTAGACAGTGCTGTGAAGCAGGCTTCCCTGGCCCTGGTGCCAACCCCAGGGGAGGGTGCTGAACTCCTCACCCACTGCTTCTTGGGCTGTGTCAGTTTTATCGCTCATACAAGTCCAGGGAGACAGAACCTTGCCCAAAAGTTTAGCAAAACAACTTTGTGACTTACAGTGGCGCAGTGTAGGACAGCAGAAGCCTAGAGTTCATGAAGATCCAGGTCCTCCAGGCTCAGACAGTGGGGCAGGGTGAGTGGAGTCTCCTCTACACAGCCTCCTGGTGTCCCAGCTGAGGGATCTGGAGAAGCAGAGCCCTGCCTGGACTCGTTCCTCAGCCAGCGGGCCTCGGGTGGGATGAAGAACGTGGGGCGCCTCCCTCGAGCAGGGACAAGCACTCAGCCCAGGCTGTTGGCTGGCTCTCTACCTGCTTCCCCATGACACCTACCACTGTTCCTGAGCGCTGCAAAAAGACAGGAGGTCTGGCCCGTCCAGGCCCGCTCAGGAGCTGTCCTGACATGCCTGGTGTGCAGGTGGATTTGTGAACATCTTGGAAGTCCCATGGGGTTCCGGTCCATCGAATGCTACATTTTTAAGTTTTATTTTTATTATTATTTCATCTTATTATTTCAGAAGACCAAAAGGTGATCTGTTCAGATCACAGTATCTTTGTTCTTTGTGATGGCTTTTTGAGAAGGCAGATGCAGGAAACATTCTTTGATGAATGCCTCTGGATGTTTTGCAAAACCACAATTAACAGTCTCAGCTGCTGTGGTTCTCTCTGCCTTCTTGAGAGGACAAGTGTTATTTATTTCCGTAACGCATGTTTATATAATAACTTAAAGATTTGTCTTTATTAAATAATTAGGAGGCAAAGGTTTTGATGGCATTTTTCATTTCTCCTTGATCTTCAGCAAGTTGGGACTCTGTGTAATGCTTAAGCATTTGAATTCAATTAGAATATATGTAATCTTTCTAGTGGTTCCAAATTTTTCATTTTTATATTGAACTACCTGCAGCAGTTTCTCTCAGCATTTTGCAGCCTGGCTGGGGCAGAGTGTGGTGGTTTCCTTGGCCTGCTGCTTCTCCGGGGCACCTCTCTTGGGGCGCGGCCTCCTGCAGCCCGGCTCCACCCTCTGCCCGTCCACTTTGCCTGCCCTCAGGCTCGGGCAGACGCTGGCCTGGGCCTGGCTCCCCTTCCTACCTCAGGCCTCGCCTTCAGGAGGCTACCCCCCAGAGCAGAACCCCAGACCTGTGGAGTTCTGCAGTGGAGTATGGCATCAAGGGAATAAGCCTTTACATTCATCTTTAAAGTTTTATTTAAATAAATTACCATGCTGTAAAATTTACTCTCTTCTTATGCAGACTGCTATAAATGTCAGCACACATATAGATTATAGATTCATGTTGTTGGGGTGAAGAGCAGACCCACCTTCCCTGAAATTCCCTGTTAGCCCTGGAAGTCACCGCTGCTGCCCCTGTTGCCTTTGAAGCTGTCAGTTTGTTCTCTGACACTGGGACATGGTCCCTGTGTACCCCACGGATGCCACTGATGGTGCCAGCCTCGGGCCAGGGCTTTCTCCCCAGCTGGACGGTCTCTTTGCCTCAGCCCAATGGCCTAGTGCATCCACACCCACTTCCAGTGCTCAGCGTGTCCTGGGTCAGGAAGAACCACAGTGGCTCATCTTCCTCCTGCAGAAGGACATCTGGGTGGTCCCAGCTTTTGACTCCCAAAAGTAAAGCCACTGTGAGCACTCAGGTGATTTCACATCTGCAGTGAGCAGCGGGGTGGAGCTTCCAGGTGTGAGGTAAGAGCACGCCTGAGTAGCTGCGCCCTTTCACCCCGCCGGCCCGTGAACATGGGGTCCCACCGCGATGCGTGTCCTCAGCATTTGTTATGCTGGCCACTGGGTAGGGGCAGCAGCATCTCTCAGTGGTTTTTACCTGTAATCCATAACAAAGCCTCCCGAGGGAAGGGCTCATGTGGCCTCTGGAGTGGCCAGGAGGCAGCAGGGTGGTGTCCCAGGTGCTGTTTCTCTGTCATTTTGTTGTGGTGACTCTGGGGTGGGGAGTGAAGAAAAAGGCCTGATGATGGTGGGGAATGAGATTCTTCACTTCAGGTCAGCAGCAGGGCTCCTGAGTCAGAGTTACATAAGGTGAAGTGAGGTGAGTGACTGAGGTCCCGCTCTTCCGTGTGCTGTGGAGGCCTCGCAGACCCAGGCTCTGGGCGCTGGAGCACCTTGCCTCGTGGGGCATATATCTGATGGCACCCGTGTCTCCTCTCGGGTAAGCAGACCCTCACACCTTCTCCACACTCTCCCTCAGGCTCCTGAGCCACCAGCTGGACACGTGTGTGTTGTGCCCACTGACCCAGGAGCTCCTGACTGGGCGAGAGAGAACGGGTCTGGCCTGAGGGTGCGGCTCATTGGCAGAGTTTTGCTGGCACACACTGGGCCCTGGGTTCAAGTTCCCCATGGAGGGAATGGGGAGATTCTATCTGACTTGGCCTGGGATTCCCGGCATGGAGCTCTGGAAGCCTTGGAGTTTGCTGAGCTCTGCTGTTCACCAGCCCCTGTGCCACCCTGAGTGTGTGCCCCAAGGTGGCTCTGGAGGACGACAGTCCCCTTGGAAGAGCAGCTGTGACATTAGAGGGTGGGAACGGGACCCGCCTGGCCTCCACAGGAGGGAACAGGGAGCCCTGACTGAGTCACAACCTGTGGCGATGATTTAATCACTCATCCCTGCGTGACGTGTCGTGACGTGTGATTCCAGGGAAAGTCAGGATGTTGTAGGTAGCTGAGTTAGATAGAAATTAGTACAGGGTCAGGGAGAGACTGGGCCAACAAGGAAGTCAATGAAAAATAAAGACATTAACACTGTGGCTGGCGGCGCATCTGAAGAAGACCAGGCCTCAGGATGGCCAGGCTCACACGCCTCCCTAAGGCATAAGCAGTAACTTGGGATTGTACTGTAATTAGCACCACCTGGACCAGGAAGTCCAGACAGGCACTGGTCGCCCAGGTGGGTGACTGGAGGATCTGGACCCATCCCTTCCCCAAAATGCCTTTGTTCTTCCCTGTACCCTTGCTACCTGACCTGCCGCCCTACTGGATCAATATTAGCTCAGCAGCTATACCTGTAATCCAATAGGTTGATTATAGTTTGACCCAGGTTGTATCCACATTGTGACTTTGCTGTATAAATTACCTGACAAAGTGCCTCAGTGGCAACTCACTCAGGACCCCTCCTGGAAATCCAGGAGCTATTCTTCTCTCCTTATTTCCACCACAACTCTCCTAACTTCCTCCTTTGGTTTGAAATTTCATTCCTCTGTGTTCTGGGACCATGAACTCGGCACATTTGACAGCTGGGGGGTCGGGAGTTTATTTCTCCTATACCAAGGACACTGGAGCCCAGTGGAACTGGGTTGGTAGCAATAACCAGTAGGCAAGAGCTCCCTGATTTGGAGGAGGCGCGGGCAGCGGCTGTCCACCCTGGCGCCTCCAGCCCCTGCCCTCGTGGGCTTGCCCTCCCGCTGGGCCAGTTTGTAGCTCAGATAATAAACTGTAGGAATGGTGCTTTATGAGTTCTGCAAATCATTCAATGTGTTGCTAAACCCAAGGCGGGTCATGGGAACCCCAGAGCCGCAGCTGTGGTCAGGTGTGTGGGTGGCTGGGGACCCCGTTGGCAGCTGGCAGCTAAAGTGGGGGGACCCAGCCTGAATCTGTGGCCCTACACCGACCGCATGCTTAGTGTACCAGTGAGATGGAGAAAGAACGCACCCAGCCTGCCAATCCCAGCGAGGCTAGGGCGGTACCCACTATCCTGAGACTCCTCTCTTGAGATGCCTCCTCCTAGACCCCCAGCTCTGCGTCCTGGGCCAGGCACTGTGGCTGTGACGGCCAGTGGGAAGGCCAGCCACTTGCTGTGCCTCTGGGGAAAGGCACTGCGATGCCCATCCACCTCTGCGTTCTCCTCACAGCCCTTTCTGAAGACCAGGAAGGGCTCCTCCCCTGCCACACCCGCAGCAAGGCTCAGCCACGTTTCCTGATTCTGCGGCCTTTAGGAAACCAGAGTGCTTTGGCCGCTGTCTGGACCTTGGTGGGGCCTTTCAGCAGGAAGAGGCTCAGCCTGGGCCGCCTCAGGGCCATCTGAGATCTCAGGAGGGTCTCACCTCTGTGGCTTCGTAAAGGTGAGGGCAGTGATCCCAGTTTCTCTCCTGCTCTTCCCTGTTGGGTGTCCACTGACCCTTGGGCAGTTTTTCCTGCAGGGGACGCAGAGGCCACATTCCTTAAGAGGAGGGCAGATCAGCAAAGGCTGCTAATGTTACTGGGAGGGAGGGAGGGAGCGGAAAGGGTGCACATTTCTGAGCTGGGAGAGGCTGTGTCCGAGGAGCCTCCTCCTGCATAAGCAAGGCTCCTCACTGCCTCCTGGAGTAATTTAAACACCGGAACTTCTCTCTGCGATAAGGGCTGTGCCCTTTTATGTATGTAACAGCTCAGGAAGGTGCTTAAAATCCCCTGGCATCTGCTTGGCAGCGCTCTCCTGGGGTAATGGGCCGTGATGTGTGGAGCCCTCTGCCCCTGCCAAAGGGAGGTGGGGTGCAAGTGTAAATGTGCTCGTTGCCATGAGGAAGGGTAAGCTGCAGGAGTATTAAATCACTGAAATCTATATGGGAAATGGGAAACCGGCCCATGACGTTCCATACTGCAATTAAATTAAATGACCACATAATGCTACATCCCAATCCTGTGTGCATAAATTAACATAACAACAAAATGACACAAAACTGCCAGCATCAGCAGGAAACCCAGGGCCATTAGTCATTCCCTCTGGAAGCCCCTCGCCTCTGTGTGCAGCGCCCAGCAGCCTGGCAACTGCCAAGCACAGCCGTCGCAGCGGGGACTCCTCCCTCCGGTTTTCCCTGGACTCCCTTCCAGCCGTGGACTCCGGTCCCCTGTGACCTCGAAGCCTGTCCCCGGGCCAGTGGCACCCGTGCGCAGCCCATGCACACGGTCCCTGGGACTCCGCAGAGCGTTGTGGCCAGCTGGCTGTCCTGAGCCCTGCCTGCCCTGCAGCCTGGCTCCCTGTGTGGTGGCAGAAAGGAGGTTGGGGTTTGGGGCCACCAGCACAGGAGCTCTTTCTGCTTTGCTTATGCGTGAGGTTTCCTGGAGGGGACTCTGAGCCACCACAGGGTGGCCGTCCCTGGGGCCGTGTGCTGGACCTTGTGCTTCCTCCTGGGGCCTCCCGAGGAGCCCCTCCTTCGTGCTGAAAGGAAGCAGTGAAGGCCCTTATCTGCAAGTGTTGCCTGTCTCCACCTCAGGTGGCAACATACTGATTTTCAAACCTACCTCCGCTGGGTAGCAGCTCACACATGTCCCCAAGGTCGAGAGACTCTGTCCATCCTAGCGGCAGTGGTTTTCACAAGGGGTCGGCGACCCCTGAAAATGTGGATCCTGAGGGAGGAGTGGGCCTCGGGGTGATGCAAGGAGCGGGGGATGCGAGCAGCTCGGAACCATCTCTCTCCAGCCTCCCAGCCTCGCTGGAGCCTCCGGCCTCTGTCAAGCGGCTGTCTACTGGTGCAGCACCAGGGGCGGTGATTGCTGTGACTCCGGTGCCATGGAGTGTGAGCACATGGCGTGCGGAGGCAGAAGAGGCCACCCAGAAATGCACGGACGAGCCCCGAAGTGCGTGTCGGGAGCCAAGGAGCTGTGTGGACAGGTGTTTCAAGATACAGGAAAACGGAACTGCTCGTAGCCGTGGGGTGGTGGGGCTTAGGGAATATGAAGTTTATGGATGGGAGCCTCCCATGCCAATTTTACCTCTGGGTTCTTTCAGTAAGTAATCACTGAGGGTCTGCTATGCTTGGTACTCTGCCGGTCTGAAGTCACAGATCTCCAGATCTAATAGCAATAAAGAGATGTCAATAACCACTTCTGATGACGATGATGATGATGACTACGATGATGATGATGATGTAAATGAGGAAGACAAGGATGATAATTTATTTGTTGAGTGTAAATTATTTGTAGCACTATCCTAGGTATGAGCATCTGCTCCTACTAATCCTTGTAACAGCCTTGTGAGGTAATGCATAATAAATCTATTTTTAAAATGAGAAAAATCAAGGCACAGACACACCATATGGTTACTAGCTGTCAGAGACTGAATGCAAACCTCAATTCGTATGATGCCACAGTGTAGCCTGTATTACACTTGCCTAGCACCAGGACAAAGAACCCAAACACCCGAAACTTAATGAAGCAGATTATTTTGGCTTATGGTTTCAGAGGCTGCAGTCCATGGTTGGTCAGCTGCAGGGCAGAAACAGCATGGTGGAGGGCCTGGGGGAGAACAGCTGTTCAACCCACAGCAGCCAGGAAGAAGAAAGAAAAGGGGAGCGGTGGGAACGAGAACGCTCCTCCCAGGTCACAGTCACAGTGACGTATTTCCACCCAGGCCCACCCGTTCAGCAGTGAACTCAGCAGTGGACGAATCCACCAATGGGTGTGGCAGCCCAGCCGGGTGCAGTCACCTTCCCAAACCCCACCGCTGAGCACGTGACACTTTGGGGGACATTTTAGCCTAAACTATAATGTAACCTACTAGCTGATAGGCTGCTGGTTGAAAAACATCTACAGTGCAATGGAAGAAGAATGGGAGAAATTAATGTGACTCTTTTTTTTTTTTGCAGTGCTTGAGATGGAGCCCAGAGCCTCAGTCATGCTGGGCAAATGCTCCAGCCTGAGTTGTGCCTCAGGCTTCCCTGGAACCCTTGACCGCTGAGGCCAGGTGTGGGGTCCCAGACAAGCCTCTCAGTGCAGGATCACACAGTAAGGAGGCAGTGAAGATGAGACTGTGGGTGGTGTTCAGCATGTTAGAGTTCCTCATCATTTTTTCACAGAGAGAAGATGCAGAATCTGAGAAGTACCAGGGTATTGAGGTTCTCCTGGCAGCTGGCAAGAGTGACTCTTCCAGAGTGGTAGCAACTGAGAAATGCCCACATCTTTCCCTTGTTCTGGTGTGGAGGGTTGACTAATGGTCAGCTTGGAACACCCAGCTGAATGGAGGCAGCGTGGTGCTGGGTGTGGAAGGCCCACCTGGGGGTTGTTGCCAGCGGCACAAAAGGAGAACTGGAGGGGAAGATGGGTGCTTCTAGAGAAGCTTGTCACGCTGGTTTTCCTGATATGAACTCAGATGTTCTTATCGTTGGAAGAGCTTGGGCCCTTGCTGTCACTGAGGATGGCTACGGTTCTTTTCAGGGGAGCTTTGGTCCTTACTTTGATCGTTGCTCCCTGGCTCCAGTGCAGATCTCTCAGCCTGCTGGCACAGATCCTTCATCCCACTGGCGCAGACTTCTAGCTTCCACTGCTGACCTGGAGTCCTTCCCAGTGCAGATCCTTGATATAGACTTGCGTGAGACATTGTCCTGGGCTCTAGGCCTCCAGCTGGACTCATGCAAGACATTGCTATGGGCTCTAGGTCTTCAGCTGGACTCATGCAGGACACTGCCATGGGATCCAGGTCCTCAGCTAGATTCTTCAGGTCTCTAGAGTGTGGACAGATCTTCCGTGCTCTTCTGCATTTTGGGGTGAATATTATAAAACCATCCTTTAAATTATGTGTCCTGCTTTAAATATATTCCTCTGAAAACCCTGACTACAACACAGCTAGCATCCTTGATGACTCAGTGGCAGCCAATGCAACCTGCGCTGGTCGTTCAGCGCACACTCATTGGATTTAATTTCCCAATAAAAGGTAAATGTTTGCAGAAGTGACTTATTATTTGCAGAGGTGACTTTTGTCAAGGACAGAAGGGCAGTTATTTGTCTGAATAAAAGGATCTTCCAAGGACGAAGTTTCCTGACTGTTTTTGTGTTTCTCAGGTTGCCGAGATTGAATATGGAAACCTTTGGAAAGTACAGGACTAAAGAGAAACTGAAAGTGTGAGAAGTTAACTGAAGTGCAGTCTGAAAGGAAGATAGAACATCATCCACAGTATACAATGTGAAAATGACCCAGCTGCCACACAGCCTTTGAGGAACACATTTATTTATCATGTGAGGACCTGTGCACACAGATCAGCACCAATACCATCCTGGCAGGGGAGAAATCGAAGTCCCTTCACTAATAGGCACTGCTTTGTTATCTCCACAAAGAGAAGCTGATGACCTGAAAGTAAGACGTGTAGATGGTCCAGGTAAGATTTGAGAATGGTGGGGAAAATATGCCATTGCCCTGAATAAGCTACTCGGTAACATCTAATCCTGAAGAAAGGCATTTCCTGACACTTGTGTATTGCTATAATGGTACACCGGATGTGAACTATGTCTCCAAATAATTTGCTCTCCAAGAAACAAAAATCTATCCCTCTACTGCTATTACCAGAATGCTCTAGACAAATACATGCAATTTCATGTCCTTTTGCTGAAGCAAATCAGCTGAATTTTATGCTGTCATTTTCCCCAGCGAAGCCGATGTCATTACCATCCGAAGGCAGCAACTCTGCAGTTATCACATGTCCTCCCGAATCCTTCCCTCAAATGTCAGTGTCGTCAGATGCATTCCATGGGTTGCACTCAAAGAACAGCTCTGTTACACTGCCACCCTGAATCAAGCTTACAAAAGAAGGACAGAGTTTTCCTGGCAAGAACTTAGATTCCAATTCCTGTGCCTAATTCTAGGGTATCAACAGCGCAGAGCACCCGGGGTCCAAGGCAGGTCGTGTTCCCGTCGTGGGCCCCTCTCTGTGTGCTACTGATTTAGGCTTGATAATGCATGGGGCCTGAAATCCCAACCGTCCGCAGCCAAGCTCAGCGAGATGGCCACACCTTCCCCATGCACATCCTCAGGCCTATTAACTTTAATGTAACTTATATGACAGTAAAAATATTCATAAACTTGAAGACAACCTTGCTCCTTCTAGAGCTTTTCCATTTCAAAGCATACTTTTATATAAAGTACGGTTATTTGAGCAAAAGAAGAAGTATTTCTTTCCATAACTTTCTTCCTAAACAGATGAGCAAGAATGTATTGTATGATAATTATAATTTCAACCATTTTAAAGCCCCGTTCTCTAGTAGATGAACGTACTGTGTGCCTCTTTATCTGTAAAGCAGCATAGTCAAGTTACTTAAGTGCTTCTTGTCTTCATCTGTCTGGGTTGCTTTGATGCCGTACCACAGCCTGCGTGGCTTATCAACGCCAGGAGCTCAGCTGTTACGGCTCTGGAGGCTGAGGTCTGAGACCCGAGCACCACCGAGGCTGGGATTCCTGGAGCACTCTCTTCTGGGGTGTCGACGACTGATTTCTGTCCTCACCCAGGGAAAGAGCACATGCTCCTCTCTGGCCCGGATGAGGCCACCACCCCTGCTTACTGGGGTGATAAGCTTCTAGTCCCAAACGCTGAGCACCATGGTGTCAGAAGTCAGCTTTCAGGGTGGACGTGAGGTGGAGGATGCAAACCCCAGTGTGCACGGCCTCTCCAGGGACCGTAGGACCCCAGGAAACCCAGGGCGATGGCTCTGCTGCCTCCAAGTACCACCCATTGGACCAGGGTCTGTGGAGATGGGGACAGGGCTCTCCACCTGTTCTACTGAGGAGACCTTCAGGAGAGGCCCCGTGCCTGTGTGCCCTCGGACCTGCTCTCCGCTCTGCTGTACACATGTGCATATATGTGTGCATGTGCTTGCATGTGCATGCATGTGCACATATATATGAGTGTGTGTACACACATGGGTGTATGTGCAGTGAGAGCCAGAGGTAGGCACAAGGTTCCATCCTTCCCTTTCTGTCTGCCCAGCCACCATCCCCACACCTGGCTCAATGCTAGCGCCTGGCCCAGTCCAGTTCCACACTCCAGGCCCATCCCTGAGCTCCAGCCCTGCCGCCTGGGGACTTGGGAGGGTGGTGTCTTCCTCCTGCTGCATTTTCCCGGGGTGGCACCACCATTTGGCTACTCAGCCCCTCTATCACCTGCAAACCTATTTCTGTTCTGTTTTCCTGGACATTTTTCAGACTTCACCAAATTACCAGGAACAGGGTCGAATTCCTTCACATTGAAAATAAAAAGCTTGTTTTATCTAAAGGTGCAGGAAAAGTTTAGAAAACATAGGAGAAGCTGATAGCCAGGTCTTAACTGAAAAGTTGAACAATAGCAGCTTATCACTCAGCTAGCCCTGTCTGCCCTAGTTGCAGGGGTAGTACAAGAGTACTCCGATGGCAGTTTCTCCAGGTTTACAAGACTCCAAGTTGTCTTCCCCACGCCTGTTTGAAGGGGGTTGATTCTGGCTGGGATGTCGGCCTGTGGCACCATCATTGCTGGCCAAGAAGTTGGGGTCAAATGGTGCACGGTGCTTCCTGAAGCAATCGAAGGGAGGGACTTGTCCTGTGGTGGGGGAGACTGGGGCAAAGCATCGTCCGCTGCGCCCATCATCCCAGTCCACCACCTGCTTCCAGACCAGATGGCCTGAAGTTTTCATGGAAGCTTGTCTCATATGGAGCGTGCACACACTGTACTTAGCTTGAAATTTAGGGACCAGAGTTCACCATGTGTGAAGTGGGAGGGGACATGCGGCCAGGATGGGATTTGGGGGGATAACAAAGTGGGCACTTTAGGGCTTGGCAAGTGTGAACGGTCCCATGGGTCAGAGCCTCTCCTAGGCTACGACCAGCCAATTATTCTCCAAATTTGCACTGGCCCAATCTAGAACTGCCTTGTCAATCAGCCTAAAGGTCCCATTGACCAGAAAAACCTGTTATGAATCTTGTGTCTGTTCACATAAAAGAACATGGAGATAAACTCACAGCATAAAGAAAGGACGATAGTTCTGAATGTCTTCAACAATGGCAGCGTTTGTTAAGGGGAAGCAGGGGCTCTTAGAGACCTAATGGGGGGCAGGAGGAGACAGCTGCTTCTCACACTGTAGCTCCACACAATGCTCTCTTTGCCACGAATTTCATGGGGCTCTGGGGGAAGTCTACAGCAATTCAGTCTTCTTGGGACAATTACCGTGACATGCTACTCTCATGCGTAGGCCCCAGTGCCAGTCCTGACATTCTCTGATTCACCAAAGCACTGGTGTTAGATAAATGAGCAGCAGCTGTGGTAATCAGAGCCTAATTGAAACAAAGTCACATAAAGCAAGTAACATGTACCGCCACCCTCACTTGCATTTATTGCATAAAACTGTTTATTCTCAAGATCACTTGTCTGCCATAATCATTTCCCGTTCCTGATATACAGTTTCCATCCAGAGAAGGTGTAATGGTGCTCTACTCTTCCCCTTCCTGTTCACGTCATCCTTGGAGGATGTTTCCGGAAACAAGCGTTCACTAAAGGGAAATGTCTCACATATTTCCAGAAATGCCTTAAGGGCTTGCTTCATGTGCTGTCCATCGGTATGGCTGAGCCCCTCTGGCACAGTCCTGAAAACAGACAGCTGAGACTAAAATCACTACGGTTGTTACAGTTTTTGCCCCAGTGGTCAGTGCTTCTTGTAAACAGAATGTGTGCCATTGTTCCAGGACCGAGGGAAAAACATCTAAGTGCCCCAAGATCCAATTTCAACAAATTCTAATTCTCACTCTTCAAAGTGAAAGAAAACATCTCTATTGATTTCTGACATAAACAACGGGATCAAAAGCTTGCTGGTTTTGTTTGAAGGCCTCCTCCTCCTCCTCTCTTTTTCTTTTATTATTCTTTTGCTTTACTTACCTTCGATTGGCTTGTTGAAGGATGAACTCACAGATACCTCTTTTGTTCTGGGTCCATTTCCCTGCAGAATTGTGGGATTGTAAGGAGCTGTGGTGGGGGTCTGTGGATGCCCTCTGAACAGGCTCTGGTGTCTTGTGGGCTCTTAGCCTTGCCTGCTGACTTAGTAAGCGGGAACCTGGCTTGGGCTCACGGCTTTCAGGTATGGACAGCTGATACTGCCATTATCGCTGGTGCTGGTAGAAGCTTTCTACTGTCAGGCTCAGGAACAATTGTGGGAACGCCATGGTGGCACTGGACCAGTACCCAGTTGTGCTGGTCACTTTTCTCTTGTTACTAAATCAAAATACCTGATGCCTGAAATTAAGGAAGGAAAAGCTTATTTACCTCACATTTTGTGGAGGGTTCAGTCTGTACTCAGCTGGCTCCAAGGCAGGGGGGCATGGTGAGGGGCAATAGTTCAAGGCAGCAGAAGACAGCAAGAGCAGCAAAAGCAAAAAGCGGAAGCAAGCCTCTTTTCCTTCCTTATATTGCATGTGGGCTACCCACCTTAGGTAGGTGTAGCACTCACACCATCTCCACACCCTCCTCTTGCACCAGCTCAGGATGTTTACAAAGTGAGGACCCTGATACCCTGCTGAGTCACTTATTTGAACCTCCAAAACTTCTCAAATTGATACAATGAACAACATCCCAGAGCAGTGAGGGCATGTCCTGTATGTCCTAGGATGTAGAACAGCTGAGTTACTTAGTTAAGTTTCTAGACTTCTCAAGCTGACACAACTTATGTACCATAACACCAGTGGATCCAGCATTTTGGAGACTCATATTTTATATAACTTCACAAAGCCTGAGTTGTCACATAGGTTTTTACTTACTTAGCTGTTGATTTTTTTATTCATTCTTTAAAAAAATATAATTCATGTATTTAAAGCTCACTATTTTATAATGTATAATTCTGTGGTATTTAATTTATTTACAAAGTTGTATAACTATCATTACCACCCTTTGATTGCAGACTATTTTCATCATCCAATAAAACACTCATACCCATTGGCATTCCCCGTTCTTTGAATTTCCAAACTCTGAGCATTCATGCATATACTTCCTGTCTTCCGTGCATATACTTCCTGTCCTCCATGCATGCACTTCCTGCCTTATGCATCTGTCTGCTCAGAGCATTTCTTATAAATGGAATCATCCAATGTGTGATCTCTCACATCTGGCTTCTTTCAAGTCCTGTACTCTGATCAGCTCATCTGCATGATAGCATGTGTCAGGCCTTCATTTCTTTTCTATGGCTGAATAACATTTCATTGTAAGGAAGGACAGTGTTTTCTTTATCCATTCCACAATTGATGGGCATGATCATCATTTCCAGTTTTTGGCTATTGTAAATAATGATGTTATGAACATTCATGTCCAAGTCCTGGGTTGATACATGTTTTCAGCTCTCTTGGGTACATACTTAGGAGTGGGACCTTTCGGTCCTATGGTAAAACCATGCTTAACATTCCTAGGAACTATCAAACTATTCCCACAGCAGATACAAGCATTTTACATTCTCCTCAGTCCCAATTTTTCTACATCCTGTCAACACTCTGATTGTCTCAGTTTTGACTGAAGCTGTCCTACTGTGAAGTAGATCCCATGGTTTTGATGTCTCTTTCCATTGGACAATGATATTGAGCATCTATTCAAGAGCTTGTTGGCCATTATGTGTCAGTTTTTGGAGAAATAGCTATTCAAATCTTTTTGCTCACTTTTAAATTGGGTTGTTTGTCTTTTTGCTAAATTGTAGGAATTCTTTATCTGTCCCAGATATATAGTTAGCTAGAGAATCTATCAGTTACATGATTTGCAACTATTTTCCCCGTTCTGTAGATTTTCCTTTCTTTTTTCTTGTGACAGGGTCTCACTATGTACTCCGTGCCGGCCTTGAACTTACTGTGTAGGCAGGCTGACCTCAAACTCACAGTCCTGCTTCAGCCTTCTGAGTGCTGGAATTACAGGTGTGTGCCGCCATACCCAAGCTCAATTTCTTGACAGTATCCATTGAAACACAAATGTTTCAAATTTTGATGAAGTCCAATTTATTTCTTATTTTTCCTTGTTTTATGCATTTATTTTTACATACTTTTTTGTCTCTATAATAATCCAAAATAGGAATATGAAAGCAGTGAGATCCCAGGTGAGGTGTGCAAACACGTGCAGCTCTGCCTGGTGCACAGTGAATGCTGATGAATGCTGGTAGGAAGAGGAAGTACTGTAACACAGATCTAGAGAGGGACCAGTTGTCGTGAACTGACAGCTGGTGGTCAACTTATAACCTCCAGCTGAACTGAGTAAGCCTGGTGCTGGGTGTGGGAGGCCCACCTGAGGACTGTTGCCAGTAGCATAAGAGACAAAACTGGAGAAGAAGAAGATAGGTTGTTGGGAGCAGAAGAAAGGCTGTTGGGAGCTGGTAGAAGCTGTAGGAAGCTGTTGGTTCTTTTGGAGGAGCTTGTCTATGCTGGATTTCCGATGAACTTGGCTGTTTTCAACCTCTGAGGAGCTCAGGACCTTGTTGATACTGAGAATAGCTTTGGTTCACTTTGAGGGAGCTCTGGTCCTCACTTTGAGTATTGCCTCCTGGCTCTGGAAGATGGCGCACTGCCAGTCTCCTGGAGAAGCTTGTTGCATTGGCTTTTCTGATGGAACTCAGGTTTCCTGATCATCAGAGGAGCTCGGGACCTCGCTGTTGCTGAGGATGGCTGTGGTACCTTTCGGGGGAGCTGTGGTTTTTACTTTGCATGTTGCTTCCCGGCTCCCGTTCATATCCTTCAGCTTGCTAACACAGATCTTTCATCCGACTGGCACAGACTTGCTAGATTCCACCAGTCACCTTTGGGCCTTCCCATCGCAGATCCGTGAAACAGGCCTGCAT